TATTTGGAATACATTAACACTGTGGAAAAAATACATTTTGTTTACATGTTAGATTCCAGCCTTAGATATGTTTTCAATGGAATCTTTGAAAATTATCCAGAACATGTGACAATTCTTTGTTCTACAGGACTATTCCCTCCTTTGCTGGACCTCTCGTATCCATGGCGCTTGCCCATTAAATGCTAGCAGAACATCTGCACCTTCAGTCCCCAAAATGCTGCCATAAACATACAAAGGGCTCTCAAGGGGGCAGTGCTGCTGCCAGTGAGAACCACTGATTTCCAAGAATCCATCTCATTAATGTACCATATGGCTGTATTGCTCATGGAAATTTAAAACCAGAGTAACTTAAGTGTATTTGGTCCTAAACTGTGATATGTTTTGAATAATTAGGACAATTGAATAATTATGGACAAAGTTGATTTGTTCAAATGCTTCATGATTTTATTATAATTCATGTAAGCAGATATATGATTGATATTTTAAGTTCCCAACATTCTACATTTTCTTTATTTTTTTCCTGCTCATCCCATCTAGTAAGTCAGGAACATAAAACTTTCCTTAATGTTATCATTTGCTTAGTTGACAGTCATACAATGTAATTTGTCCCTTTGAAAAAAACATTTTTAAAATTAGGTAATATAGTAATGTTATAGAAACTTTGTAAAATGAAGACAAAATTTCCCATAATCATTCCATCCTAAACAACTGTTAATATTTTTCAGTGTTTTATACTTTATATGCGTATTTTGACAAAAAAGTTTTATATCTTTTCATGATGTGGCATAAATTTTTTGTTGTTTATATAGCTTCAAAACTATTAGGTTAAATTACTGCATTTTGTTCCTTTCGATTCTACAATCATTTTCCTACCTTTAGATTGGTCACATTATAAGAATTATTATATATAATATATATGTGTATGAATATATAATCTTTACTGATAGATCTGTTTCAATATATCTTTCCTTTAGAATAGATTCTTAGAAGTGGGGTCACTGGGCCGGGCGCGGTGGCTCAAGCCTGTAATCCCAGCACTTTGGGAAGCCGAGATGGGCGGATCACAAGGTCAGGAGATCGAGACCATCCTGGCTAACACGGTGAAACCCCGTCTCTACTAAAAAATACAAAAACCTAGCCGGGCGAGGTGGCGGGCGTCTGTAGTCCCAGCTACTCGGGAGGCTGAGGCAGGAGAATGGCGTGAACCCGGGAGGCGGAGCTTGCAGTGAGCTGAGATCCGGCCACTGCACTCCAGTCTGGGCGACAAAGCGAGACTCTATCTCAACAAAAAAAAAAAAAAAAAAAAAAAAAGAAGTGGGGTCACTTACTGGGTCAGTGGACTCAGATATTTTTGTAACTTGTTAAATTTGCCAAGTTGACTAAAAAATAAAGCTGATCCACTTATATTACTATCAGCATATCTGAGTTGTCAATATATCAAAGTATCAGTTTCACCTAATTCTTGGCTGCATCAGTAATTACTTTAAAATTATTTACTTTTTGTTAACCTGATTAGCAGTGACACTGAGCATTTTTTGCCCTTGTGAATTATTTCTATTTTCTTTTCTGTAAAATGTATGGCCTGTCTTTTAACTATTGATGTGTTGGGTCCTTGCTGTTTATTTCCCGCCCCTTTTCATTTTGAGTCAAGTCTTTTAAATAAGTAAAACATGACTGTTTCTTCTAGTCATTTTTGTGGTAAATGTATTTCTTTGCCATTTCTTATTTTATTTTGATTATTTTATTTTAATAGTATAGAAAATACTATGTGTTATCAAAGAAAGAACATAAGCTAGAGGGTCAAAAATCAGGGTTCTGGACAGAGATACTTATAGTACTTGTTATATTTGACAAAGGACTCATATCCAGAACATATGTGAGAATGCTTACAAATCAATAAGAAAAAGACAGACAACCCAGTTTCAAAAAATGGGGAAAAGCCCTAAACTGGCACTTCACAAAAGATACTCAGATATCTAAACCATTTGGCAGTATGTATGCTGAATGAATGCAAACTGATTTTATATTACCTGCGTAAAACCTATTTAAAAATGTTTATTTTTGGAAAGATATATTTCATCGTAAAGCCAAATTTATATCATTCAGAGTATAGGTGCTATATTTGTTAGTGTGACCAGTTCAGATTTTACCGTACTTCTGTAGGAGAGAGGTCAGTTTCTTTTTGCTTTATCTTGCCGTTTAATAGGAAATTATTTTTGCAGGTTTCTTGCCTGTTGAATATGATGTTAATTTTTACTGTCCAGCAGTTACATATTATCTAGGAAAAAATGCCTCATTGGAGATCAGTAATCTCTATAGATCTTAGTGACTTTAAGCAGGATTGAGGAGTATCTTGGCTTTCAGTGACTCCATCAAGGTTATGAGAGAATAGGAGAAAAAAAGGAAAGGAAATCAGAAATGCAAGGATGAAAATGTTGCAAGTATCACAGAGAAGTGTATTAAAAAAAAATCCCATATAAATCCCACAAGTACATGTGGTGGTTTTTCCTATTCTTTACTCCAGAATATAATATAGATTTTTTTTTTTGGAGATGGAATCTCACTCTTATGCCCAGACTGGATTGAATTTTTCGTAGAGACAGGGTTTCACCCTGTTGGCCAGGCTGGTCTCGAACTCCTGACCTCAAGTGATTCGCCCACCTAGGCCTCCCAGAGTGGTGGGATTACAGGTGTGAGCCACTGTGCCTGACCATAATATAGATTATTTTTATCCTTACAAATGAAACAATTCTAAGAAATTCTTTCCTGCCTTGTGATGAAGGCCTGTTTGGGATATGTATATCTCACCTAATTATTGTGCAAGCCTCCAAGTGTTAGTATCTGTCCCTGGTTACCTCTTTTGTGCTTGATTATTCCCATCTTACCTAATTCATTAAAAATTATAGGCATAATTCTGTTTATTTTCATGGACAGCTTTTCTTATAATTACCCCTTTTAGATTTCTTGACAGCCCTTTTAATGATATAGAACATTTCAGTTCTTCCTGGCAGAAATAACTTTTTCAAGCCCCATTTGCCAACTTCCTTCTCACACATACACTCCTTTCTGTTCCTTATTGAGTGCAGGTTGAGTATCCCTTATCTGAAATACTTAGTCCAGAAGTGTTTCAGATTTTGGGTTTTTTCAGATTTTGGAATATTTCCATTAATACTTACTGGTTCAGCATCCCTAATGCAAAAATGCAAAATCTGAAATGCTCCAATGAGCATTCCTTTGATGCTTAAAAAGTTTCAGATTTCAGATTTTTGGATTAGGGATACTCAACCTGTAATAATAGTTCATACAAGGAGAGATACACTGATCAACCTGCCATTACTCTTTATAACTTATTTCCTCTTGACTACTTACCTAACCCTCAGAGTATATACTTTTTTTGAGATAAATTTATACCCCAGGCACATTTTTTCATTGTAAATCTCAGGGGTTCCATATTTCCCTTCCCTACAGGCCTAAAATTCTGCTTTTCCTTATTTACGATACTGTGTAACATAATTGAGTAATCTTCCAGCTGGATAGTCTTTCTGGGTTTGGAAACTTTCTTCTGAGAACTGTCATCCCTTGAATTTCAATGTTTGTGATACATTCAAATCTTAATTTACCTATATTCTACTGTCATAATCTTTTTTTCTGACATGTATTTCAATATTTCTTATTCAAGAAGACACAAATACATACACACCCATGCACACCTTACATCCCAGGCTGGGACATTAGCCTTTTCAGATATATTAAATTCAAGACACAAGATACTCTTTCCTGTTTTTTTTTTTTTTTTTTTTTTGAGACAGAGTTTACTTTGTCGCCCAGGCTAGAGTGCAGTGGTGCGATCTCGGCTCACTGCAACCTCTGCCTCCTGGGTTCAAGTGATTCTTGTGCCTCAGCCTCCTGAGGAGCTGAGACTATAGGTGTGAGCTCCCACACCCAGCCAATTTTTTATTTTTAGTAGAGATAGGGTTTTACCGTGTTGTCCAGGCTGGTCTCGAACTCCTGGCCTCAAGTGATCCACCTGCCTCAGCCTCCCAAACTGCTGGGATTACAGGGGTATGTCGTCGTACCTGGCCTCTAGCCTCTAATGAGACAGATAGTCTATTCATAATACTATTACTCTCTTTTTAGTATTTTCATAGAATGTGAATTATTTACTTTCTGCATAAACTTAAATATACATTGCATGTAGGAGGGCAGAAAATTTGTATTTTAAAATTTTGAACACATTTACTATCGCAAAATAATTTATGGTAAGTTTAGTTTAATTTGCACCAACAACAGATGATAATATCTTGCACTTTATTTACTTTTATGAAAAATTTTATTGCTGCAAACCCTCCAGTGAAAACAATTAGTTGCCAGTTTTAAATTTTAGACCAGTTTGGCTGAGCGTGGTGGCTCATGCCTATAATCCCACCACTTTGGGAGACCAAAGCCGGCAGATCATTTGAGGTCAGGAGTTTGAGACCAGCCTGGCTAACATGGTGAAACCCTGTCTCTATTGAAAATAGAAAAATTAGCTGGGTGTGGTGGTGCATGCCTGTAGTCCAAGCTACTTGGGAGGCTGAGGCAGGAGAATCGCTTGAACCCAGGAGGCGGAGGTTGCAGTGAGCCAACACCGTGCCACCGCACTCCAGCCTGGGTGACAGGCCGAGACTCTGTCTCAAAAATAAATAAATAAATAAATAAATAAATAAATAAATAAAAATTTAGACCAGCTTTTCTCTGCTACTTACCTCTTCTTTTACCAGATGTATTTGGAGAATTTAAACTACTTTTATTCTAAGTAAAAACTTAATGAGAAAGAAAAATGGATTCTAAAATCCAATATAAATTGCTTTTGTATGATCTGTAATTTTGTATTAACCATGGCACACTCTTTTGAAGGGATAATTGAGAATTGACTTATTAATAAAGACAAGGAGGGAAAATGTCATGTCATAATGTATAAATGGAGATTTTGATGTTCAGTTCATCTATGTTTTGTTTAGATGTCCCTGGTAGATTTGGGAAAGAAGCTTTTAGAAGCGGCACGAGCAGGTCAAGATGATGAAGTTCGTATTTTGATGGCAAATGGAGCTCCTTTTACTACAGACTGGGTAAAGAATGATTTTAATGTTGTGTGTTTTTTTTCTTCTCATTTTTGAGTTTTTGCAGAGAAAAATGTAGTCAGGATTGTGTTTATAAGTGATAAAAAAAATTTTTTTTTGCAAATTCGTTTATTATTTTAGAATTATAACTGTCCTAAAAGAAGTGGTTTATATTATTTTCCTTGATACTGGATAACCTTATCCAAATATTTCATCCACAAAGATTTTTTTCTTTCAAACTTTGGAGTGCATTAATGTGGCATGAATATAAACATGTGTCTGCTTGGGATTTAATTTAAAGGCCTTATAAATAGCACAGTAGAATTTATAATTCAGAAAGATACTGATAAAGATTGGCGTTAGTGTTACAGTCACTCCTAAAGAAAAACAAGTTTATGTTTCAATTAGTACTTGTAAAACTATTGCGAACATGATCAAAGAGGAAGAAAGGAATGGGAATGAGATCTTGACAACTATAGAAAGAAGGCAGTTGTGGGGAGGGCAAAAAAACATAACTCTTTAATTCTGGGGGCAAATAAAAAAGCATTGTATTGGGGATATGGAATACTAGGAATCTGAATTAACCCTCCCATTGGTAACAACTAAAAATTCCAGATTATTGGTTTTGTTGTTTTCGCCTTCCTTTCTCTTGTTATTTTTACATTTTTCATGAAAAACAAAAAATTTTTTATTATAGAAAATTTCAAATATGTATCAATCCCTGTAATACTCTTTACCCAACTTCAAAAATTATCAAATCATGATAAATCTTGTTTCCTCTATAACTCTGTCTACTGTATTATTTTTTGTTCTGTGTTATTTTAAAGCAAATTCCAGGGACCATATCATTTTGTCCATAAATATTTCAACTTGTATCTTTAAAGAATAAAGACTTTTTGATTAAATATGTTAAAGAAAATCTTCTTAAGTACACTGCTGAGTTAGAAAGAAAGAGCTAATCAACCTGAAAAACCAAGTGAAGGCTAAAACCCAGAGAAATTTTACCTAGAGAACATTAGGTGAACTCACACTTGTCTGGTGGGTTTTCTACCTCACTGACTTGGGGTACTAAAGATAAAGACCTGAGACTGTTCATGGAGAGAAGTCTGATAGGAGATCTCTTGTCATAATTCTGGAATTCCAAAGAGCTGCACCTTCAGTGTAAGGTTAAGCAGGAATACCCTGTCCCTCCTCCTATCTGCTCCTGCCCTCGTCCCTGTTGCCATGATGCTGCAAAGATAATAAGCTGATGTGAACCAAGACATCAAATGGAGAGAGGAAAAAAATCTGATGGTGAGAATTCGGAATCACAAGGCATCCTTTGTACACACTTGCAGCCTGAACTCATAAATACTTGTGTAGTCTAAAAAACTGTAAACTGAGAAATGAGTTTGAAGTGATCTTTGGACTAGGGATTACCCCAGGTTCCTGACAGAAGCAGATGAGTATCCTCTCTGGAGGAACCTGGCTTCATCCCAGGCTTCATATCCACAAATGAAATTCAAAGGAAAGTGAGCAGTCAGAAATAACTAAACACATGGACACATGCCAGTTTGAACAGTAACCTGCTAAAACAACTGTCAACAGAAGCAGACCTGTAAGGACTTGAGATAAAATTTTAGTAACAGATTAGAAACTGCTAAAGAGAAAATTAGTAAACTGAAAGGTATGAAAAAAGATGATCCAGACTATATCACAGATAAAAATAGATAGAAAATGTAAAAGAGATGTTAGGAATCATGAAGGATCATGTGAGAAAGTCTAATATCTGATCATAGATCCACAAAAAGAGCAAAAATAGGGATGAAATAATTCAAAGAGGTAATTGCTGATAATCTTCCAGAACTGATGAAAGATGGCAGCCCACAGATTTGAGTAGCCTAAGAAATCTCCAGCAGAATCAATTTAAAAACTAATCCATATCTAGATACATCATAGTGATGTTGTAGTACCTCAAGACAAAAAGATCTTTTTTTTTTTTTTTTTTTTTTTGAGATGGAGTCTCGTACTGTTGCCTGGGCTAGAGTGAAGTGGTGCAATCTTGGCTAACTGCAACCTCCACCTCCCGGGTTGAAGTGATTCTCCTGCCTCAGCCTCCCAAGTAGCTGGAATTACAGGCACCTGCCACCATGCCTGGCTAATTTTTTGTATTTTTAGTAGAGTTGGGGTTTCAATATGTTGGCCAGCTGGTCTTAAACTCCTGACCCTGTGATCCACCTGCCTCAGCCTCCCAAAGCCAAAAAGATCTTAAGAAGGATTAGTATCCATAATACATAAGGAATTTCCATGGGTTAGCAATAAAAAGACAAGGCCATAGAAGACTGACTTTATATGGTACTTTATCAAGGAGAAAGTTTGATTAATAAACATGAAAAGATACTCAACTACATTAAGATTGAGGCAAATGCAGAGGAAAATCATGAAAAACTATTATATATCCACCAGATTAGCAAAAACAGTTGATCAGTACCAAGGCTTGGTGAGGAGATGGTGGGAACTCTCACATATTTTTGGTGGAAGTGTGGAATTGGTATAATCGTTTTGGAAGACAGTTTGGCAGCACATAGTAAATTTGAAGATACACTGTATGATGTAGCAGTTGGGCTTCTAAGACTATTCCCAAGAGAAATGTGTTCATGTGCCTGAAACATATACAAGACTTCTGTATTTAGCAGCAACATTATTCATAATAACACAAAACTGGAAACAACCCGAATATTCATCAATACTGGTTAAATTAATTGTGGCTTACTCATTCAATGGAATATTATAGAACACAGAAAATTAGCAAGCTATACTTATATTTATTAACATGGTGAATCTCATGAATATAATATCGAGCAAAAGAAGGCAAGTCACAGAGAAATACATGCAGTATAATTCTGGAGGCTGAGATGGAAGATTGCTTGAGCTCAGGAGTTAGAGGTTACAGTGAGCTACGATTGCTCCACTGCACTCTAGCCTGGGCGACAGAGCAAGAACCTGTCTCTAAAAAAATGAATTAAAAAAAACCCCCAAAAGCTACAAAAACTACATGGCCAGGTGTGGTGGCTCATATCCATAATCCCAGCACTTTGGGAGGCTGAGGGAGGAGGATCGCTTGAGCTCAGGAGTTTGAAGATACGGTGAGCTGTGATCACCCCACTATACTCCAGCCTGAGTGACAGAGTGAGACCCTGTCTCAGAAAACAAAACAAAACAAAAAAACCTGCATATATGTGTATATGTTTTGCATCAATAACCAAGAAGGGAAAGTCTCAGAAGACAAAAATAAAAAAGTAGATCCTAATGTCAAACTGAGCAAAGCTCCTGGTTGCTAAATTGGCTGTTGAGATATTTTCATTAAATACTGACATTTAAGAGTATAGAAAAGGTTAGATAAAGAAAAAGTGACAAAGCATGGAGAAAGAAAGGATTGTTTAAGGAATTTATTTGATCTGCTGAGATGACCTTCGCTTGAAAATGTAAGGTTTAGCTAAGTTCGTTGGTGTGTGCCTGTAGTCCCAGCTACTCTGGAGGCTGAGGTGGGCAGATTGCTTGAGCCCAGCAGTTCAGAGCTGTAGTGTGTGATAATTGTACCTGTGAATAGCCATTGCACCCCAGCCTGGGCAACACAGTGAGGCCCTGTCTCTAATTAAGCAAACAACAATCAATCAAACAAACAAACAAATAAATAAAAAATATATATATATAGAGAGAGATAGGACTAAGGACTTTTATACATATATCCCACTTAATCTCTTCATAACATAGTGAACTTTTTTTTTTTGAGATGGAGTCTCGCTCTGTTGCCCAGGCTGGAGTGCAGTGGCGCAATCTTGGCTCACTGCAACCTCTGCCTCCCGGGTTCAAGTGGTTCTCCTGCCTCAGCCTCCTGAGTAGCTGGGATTACAGGCACATGCTACCATGCCCGGCTAATTTCTGTGGTTTTAGCAGAGATGGCGTTTCACCATGTTGGCCGGGCTGGTCTTGAACTCCTGACCTCAAGTGATCCATCTGCCTTGGCCTCCCAAAGTACTGGGATTACAGGTGTGAGCCACCACGTCTGGCCACTGTCTCTTAATTTCTAATGAAATTAATTTTGTTCAGGCAGTTTATCTGATAAAAAATAATGAAGAAAGAAAATTTGAATTAAAGGAAATACTGGATTTTTTTCTTCATTGAGAGTGGGAATTCTTCAAGGCATCTATGAAGAGGATGTGATAAGCATGAATCTAGTCATTTTTTTTGAGTTTTGAGTTACTATGTAAACAGATAATGTAAAGAAAATCTTCACTATATAAACAGAAGTGTACTAACAATACTGTAAATGTGGATTGTTTTTTTTTCTATGGTACAGTTGGGAACTTCTCCACTTCATCTAGCAGCACAGTATGGTCATTATTCCACCACAGAGGTACTGCTCCGAGCTGGTGTAAGCAGAGATGCCAGAACCAAAGTGGACCGAACACCATTACATATGGCAGCTTCTGAGGGCCATGCCAGCATAGTAGAGGTTTTACTTAAGGTATGTGTTCTCTTTTTGCACTTTGCTTTTAAAAGGCTTTAGAGTTTTATAAGAAGGAGAGGGAACTAGTTTTTGTTAAATGCGTACTTAGTATTTTATCTATAGTATTTCATTTTTTGTGTGTATAAGCCCATTAAATGAAAATTATCTTACAGCTTTCATTTCATGAGGGACAAAACTTTCTTTAGGTATATTCTTAGTTAAGTCAACTAATTTATTTCTTGGACCTTGGTCTATCTTATGGTGAGGGACTACAGCGTTTTTTTCTTTTTTCTTTTCTTTTTTCTTTTTGAGACGGAGTCTCTCTCTGTCACCCAGGCTGGAGTGCAGTGGCACCATCTCGGCTCACTGCAACCTCCACCTCCCGGGTTCAAACGATTTTCCTGCCTCAGCCTCCTGAGTAGCTGGGACTACAGGCGCCCACCACCACGCCCAGCTAATTTTTGTATTTTTAGTAGAGATGGGATTTCACCATATTGGCCAGACTGGTCTCGAACTCCTGACCTTGTAGAAAATTTTGAAACATAGAGTGATAGATGTTCTGCTTGATCCTTCTTATTCTGGCCTCTAGATCAGCCTATCAAAAAGAAATACAATGGAAGCCATAAATGCAAATCACGTATACTGTAATTCTAAATATTCCAGTAGCTACATTTAAAAAGTAATTCTAATTTTATATTTTATTTAACCCAATATATACAAAGATTATCATTTCAACATGAAATCAGTATAAAAATTATTATTATTATTATTATTTTTCTGAGATGGAGTCTAGCTTTGTTGCCCAGGCTGGAGTGCAGTGGCACAATCTTGGCTCATAGCAACTTCCGCCTCCCAGTTTCAAGCAATTCTCCTGCCTCAGTCTCCTGAGTAGCTAGGATTACAGGTGCCCGCTAACCCGCCTGGCTAAGTTTTGTATTTTTCGTAGAGATGGAGTTTCACCATGTTGGTCAGGTTGGTCTCTAACTCCTGACCTCAAGTGATCTGCCTGCCTCGGCCTCCCAAAGTGCTGGGATTATAGGGGTGAGCCACCACGCCCAGTCCAGTACAAAAATTATTAATGAGATGTATTACATTCTATTTTTTTGGTATGTTTTTCAATTTCAATGTGTGTGGTTTTTTTTTTTTGGATGAAGTTTTGCTCTTGTTGCCCAGGCTGGAGTGCAGTGGTGTGATCTTGGCTCACCGAAACCTCTGCCTGCCAGGTTCAAGTGATTCTCTTGCCTCAGCCTCCCGAGTAGCTGGGATTACAGGCGTGCACCACCAGGCCCCGCTAATTTTTTGTATTTTTAGTAGAGACAGGGTTGCTCCATGTTGGTCAGGCTGGTCTTGAACTCCCGACCTAAGGTGATCTGCCCGCCTTGGCCTCCCAAAGTGCTGAGATTACAGGCATGAGCCACTGCACCTGGCCTCAGTGTGTGTTTATACATATAGCACATCTCTATTCTGGCTAGCAGCATTTCAAATGCTCAAAAACTACATGTGTCTATTGACTGTCATATTGGACAATATATCTCTAGTTAGCTTACTTTCAGTTCTTTATGGTGCACTGGTTTTCTTTTTATAATTTTTTTATTTTTATTTTTTCTGGGTTACAGTGGTTTTGAAAGCAAAAGATTTTTTTTTGTGGAAATGAGGAACCAAGGGACCAGCTGCTATACAAACATTAAAGAAGCTTTTAGAGGAATGCTCATAGTTTCCTTCATTTCTTATGCCATTCTAGCTCTTTATGCCCATAGCTGGGTGACTGAAAAAATAATTGCCTCATTCCTAAGAAATTAGAAGGAAAACAGGAAATTCAGCATGAGAGAAAAATGATTAAGTTGACAGATTAAGTGGTGATTGTAAGTGACAGATTAAGTGGTGATTGCTGGGACATGTGTATGTGTGTGTGTGTATATATATATATATATATATATTTTTTTTTTTTTTTTTTTTTTTTTTAATTTTCTTTTTCTTTTTTCTGAGATAGGCTCTCACTCTGTCACCCAGGTTGGAGTGCAGTGGTGCAATCTTGGCTCATTGCAACCTCCGCCTCCCAGGCTCGAGCAATCCTCCCAACTCAGCCTCCTGAGTAGCTGGGATCACAGCTGTGTGCCACCACACCCAGCTAATTTTTTGTATTTATTTATTTATTTGAGATAGCATCTCGCTCTGTTGCCCAGGCTGGAGTGCGGTGGCATGATCTTGGCTCATTGCAACCTCTGCCTCCTGGGTTCCAGTGATTCTCCTGTGTCAGTCTCCCATGTAGCTGGCATTACAGGTGTGTGCCTCTGTGCCTGGCTAATTTTTATATTTTTAGTAGAGATGGCGTTTCACCATGTTGGCCAGGCTGGTCTCGAACTCCTAACCTCAAGTTATCTGCCTGCCTTAGCCTCCCAAAGTGCTGGGATTACAGATGTTAGCTACCATGTCTGGCCCTTAATTTTTTGTGTTTTTTTGTATTGTAGAGATGGGGTTTTGCCATGTTGCCCAGGCTGGTTTCAAACCCCTGAGCTCAGCCGATCCAACCGCCTCGGCCTCCCAAAGTGTTGGGATTACAGGTGTGAGCCACTGTACCTGGCCTGGAACATGTATTTAACATATACAAATAAAGAATTGATTATGTTATTTGTTCTTACTTTAAAGCACAGACTAATAATTTCATATCAGGAATTTTTAATATATTTCATATGTTAGTAATCTCTTTGAAATATTTTTGTAGCATGGTGCTGATGTCAATGCAAAGGACATGTTAAAGATGACAGCTCTCCATTGGGCCACAGAACACAATCATCAAGAGGTGGTGGAACTTTTAATCAAATATGGTGCTGATGTACACACGCAAAGTAAATTTTGTAAAACTGCATTTGATATTTCAATAGACAATGGAAATGAAGATTTAGCAGAGATATTACAGGTAACTTTTGACTTTTAATTTAAGAACATAAAGAAAAAGAATTATCAGTAGAGGGATCTCTTATATTGTGGATGATTTAAACTATTTCGTTTGTAGCCTTTCATTTTAGGCTTAGTTATTTTGGATAGGCCTTTTTCTCTTTCACTTCCTCTTTGTTTATTACTATTCATTTTCTTGATTATAAGGCCAGTCTTTTCATTAACGTTAGATAAGGTGATGACTTTCTGATTTTTAAGTTTCTAAATTTCCCTTTAGACTTTTTTTTTTTTGAGCCAGAGTCTTGCTCTGTCACCCAGGCTGGAGTGTAGTGGTGCGATCTTGGCTCACTGCAACCTTTGCCTCCTGGGTTCAAGCAATTCTTCTGCCTCAGCCTCCTGAGTAGCTGAGACTACAGGTGCATGCTGCCACGCCCGGCTAATTTTTTGTATTTTTAGTAGAGGTGGTGTTTCACCATGTTGCCCAGGCTGGTGTCGAACTCCTGAGCTCAGGTGATCTGCCTGCCTCGGCCTCCCAAAGTGCAGGGATTACAGGTGTGAGCCACTGCGCCTGGCCCTAGACATTTTATTCTATTATTTTTGTTGCATTTTGATACTATATGATTTTTCCAGGTCTACTATAAATGACTTTATAAAAATTAAAAAATGTATATATTAGCAACCGTAATAACATCCCTTGAGTGAGTGATGCAGTTTGATTTGTTTCTTTTATTTTTCAACATCCTCAAAAAGATCTGCTGTTTTTGGCTTTTGGGAACATTTTTCTAGTAACTAACATTACTTCTCTTATTTTCAGCCATATGACATAATATAAATTATCTTCTTTAATTAATGCCTCTTCTTGCCTGTTTGTTCCTGATCCCAGCAGTAGAACTCTTCTTTTCTAAGACTGTCTAACTCCTTTGAGCTTTCACTAGTTACTTAAAAGATGTTTTATGTTCAGGAAAATGAATTCTACCATGCCTCTTTCCATTCCTTTTACTCTTAGGAGTGCAGTTTGGGGGTTGAAGATGGGGAACGATTAATTGAGAAGGACATGCTTTATATATGTGGTATTATGTATTGCCAAATATAGAAGAAATAATTAAATTTCTATAGCTACAGAAATATTTTTTGTTTGTTTGTTTTGTTTTGGTTTTGGTTTTTTTTTTTTTTTTTTTTGAGACGGAGTCTCTGCCGCCCAGGCTGGAGTGCAGTGGCCGGATCTCAGCTCACTGCAAGCTCCGCCTCCCGGGTTCACGCCATTCTCCTGCCTCAGCCTCCCGAGTAGCTGGGACTACAGGCACCCGCCACCTCGCCCGGCTAGTTTTTTGTGTTTTTTAGTAGAGACGGGGTTTCACTGTGTTAGCCAGGATGGTCTCGATCTCCTGACCTCGTGATCCGCCTGTCTCGGCCTCCCAAAGTGCTGGGATTACAGGCTTGAGCCACCGCGCCCGGCCTGGTTTTGGTTTTTTTAAGATGGGGGTCTCACTATGTTGCCCATGCTGGTCTCAAATTCCTGGGCTTAAGCACTTCTCCTGCCTCCGCCTCCTGAATAGCTGGGATTACAGGCACCTGCCACCTCAACCGGCTTGATGTCCAGTTGTTCTTTGTTCTGTTAAAAACCTTTTAGATACTCATTTCTCCTCTCCCAGGATTTTGCTGCTTTACCTAGGAGGGGGACTCGGGATATAAATATATACCCATAGTGTGCCCCTACACTGTCAGGGGACCTTAGACATATATTTCCACTTGTACTATGTGATTATTCTTTGAGAATATTCCTTTACATGTGTGTTTGTATTATATGGAGAATTTGTGCTATATGTTCTGGTTATAATTCTGAAAACACTGTGGTCATTTTTTCCCTAGATTGCTATGCAGAACCAAATCAACACAAACCCAGAGAGTCCTGACACTGTGACAATACATGCTGCAACACCACAGTTTATCATTGGACCTGGAGGGGTGGTGAACCTAACAGGTCTGGTATCTTCAGAAAATTCATCCAAGGCAACAGGTATTGAGATGCATATAGGATAGGCTTTGGGATTTTATGCTTTAGTAGGTATTCATCATTTTAAGAAAGGACTGTTGGAGAACAAGGGTAAGATTCTATCAGCCACCTTGGTTTTCTTTGGCATAACTGGCAAAAAAAATTTTATGAGACAAAACAATCTGAAGAAAGGTGATACTGCAAAATTTACTGCAGTATTACCTTTCAAAAGCTAATGCTATCCAAGCTTTGTTTAAGAGTCAAATAAGGTAAATAGAGTATCAGAAATATGCATTGGATTAAGCTCCTTAGAAATTCAAATCTATTTTCTTTTTTCTTACAGATGAAACGGGTGTATCTGCTGTTCAGTTTGGAAACTCTTCTACATCAGTATTAGCTACATTAGCTGCCTTAGCTGAAGCATCTGCTCCATTGTCCAATTCTTCAGAAACTCCAGGTTAGAAAAGCACGTCTAATGTGTACATTAAAATTGCAGATTCAGGCTGGGTGCAGTGGCTCACACCTGTAATCCTGGCACTTTGGGAGGGTGAGGCGGTGGATTGCCTGAGGTCAGGAGTTTGAGACCAGCCTGGGCAACATAGTGAAACCTGTCTCTACTAAAAACACAAAAAATTAGCCAGGCGTGGTGGCACATGCCTGTAATCCCAGCTACTCGGGAGGCTGAGGCAGGAGGATTGCTTGAACCCAGGAGGTGAAGGCTGCAGTGAGCTGAGTTTGCGCCACTGCACTCCAGCCTGGGTAACAGAGCAAGACTCTGTCTCAAAAAAAAAAAAAAAAAAAGAAAACAAAAAAACAGTTGGAGATTCAAATATTTACAAAGGCCAGGAAGACAATAAAAGGCTAAGGTGTGCAGGATTGAGATTACGCCCGGCTGAAGAGTGGGGCAAGGGCAGGGAGTCATCTGTGACTGAGCTCTAACTGATTATAGTCATCAGCCCAGTATTCCCAAATTCTGTTTTTTAATAGGAAGGTGTGAATCTGGATTTTGAAAGAACATTAAATCTTGGTAACTAATTGAAAAACAAAACAAAACTTTTGTGGCTCATAGAAAAAAATGTCCCTGTATCTAAGTTGGCCCTTGATTTACTAGTTTGTGACTTTTTGTTTAAACAACTTACTTTGGCTGGGCATGGTAGCTCACACCTGTAATCCTAGCACTTTGAGAGGCCGAGATAGGTGGATTCCTTGAGCCCGGAACCCTGGGCAACATGCTGAAAGCCCATCTCTACCAAAAAATATAAAAAATTAGTCAGGTGTGGTGGTTGGTGCCTGTGGTCCAGCTGCTCAGGAGGCTGAGGTCAGAGGATCGCTTGAACCTGGGAGTTCAAGACCAGCCTGGCCAACATGTTTCTGAAACCCCGTCTCTACTAAAAATACAAAAATTAGCTGGATGTGGTGGTGTGCCCCTGTAATCCCAGCTACTGGGGAGGCTGAGAATGGCTTGAACCCAGGAGGCAGAGGTTGCAGTGAGCTGAGATTGTGCCACTGCATCCCAGCCTGGGTGACAGAGCAAGACTCTATCTCAAAAAAAAAAAAAAAAAAAAAAAAAAAAGTAATGGGTGGGCATAGTGGCTCACATCTATAATCCCAGCACTTTGGGAGGCTGAGATGGGTGGATCACGTGAGGTCAGGAGTTCAAGACAAGCCTGGCCAACATGATGAAACTCCATCTCTACTAAAAATACAAAAATTAGCCGGATGTGGTGGCATGTGCCTGTAATCCCAGCTACTCAGGAGGCTGAGACAGGAGAATCGCTTGAACCTTGGAGGTGGAGATTGCAGTGAGCCAAGATTGTACCACTGTGCTCCAACCTGGGTAACACAGGGAGACTCTGTCTCAAAAAAAAAAATAAATAAAATAAAAAATAAATAAAAGTTTAAGTATGTTATCACCAGAGTAAACAATTCAAAGCTCAATTTGCACATACTCAGGCAAAGCTAAATCTGCCACAAATTATTTCTCTGACTTCTGGCTATCCAGTTTCTTTAAAATCAATTATCAGACTCATCCTGATTCTCGAAATGTTTATATATATCTTTTCAAGGGCTTGTTAGAATCTGGAAAATACAGTAGTGGTACCTCCATTTTATATATAATGAAACCGGTTTGTGGAAGTTGAATAATTTTATCAAAGGGCATGTGGCTATTAAGTAGAGAAAGGAGGATTATGCTCAAAGTCTGACTGATTCCCAAGGTATGTGTCTGTGACCACTATCATGTACCATCTGTCTTATGCAGCTTATTCACATGGTCTGTGGGCTCTTTTAGAATGTTTATAATTTGGTTTGTGATATTTGAATTACACAATATTGAATTATTTGTGTAATTTTCATTTTACCTTATTTCAAGCAAAAGCGTCACTATTACTTTTGGGATGTATCTGTTTCTGTAGCTTTTTCTAGTAATAGGTAGTCTGTTGAAATAAGTGTTCTGGTACTTTCTTGCCCTTTTAAAATGATGTTGGCCAAAATATAGTGTAAGCTCCATCAGTACACTGATTGTTACTGCTCATACTCTTTTCTTTTACTAGCTAAGTGGTACAATAAACATTTTTCCTGGGTAGAAAACAGCCAGAATGTAGCAGCAGATGGACTGTATTTTAAATGGAAACTAGCTGGTTGGCATGGTCCTATATATAAAGAGAAGGCAATTGTGGTAGTCCAGGGTACCATGCCATTTCACTCAGGAATTATGGCTTTAGATAGCACCTTCATGTCTCTTCATTTTGGAATGACTTGCAAAATGGAAATGATTTCCATTTGGAAGTCAGTGGAATTAACTTTCCATTAGAAAATGGAAATGACGTTAGTACCATTTTTGACATATACCACACATATTAATGGTAGTCCCATTAATATCCATTAATAGTCCCATTAATAGTCCCTTAGAATGTCTATTATAATATTTTCATTGAGAAACCAAATGATACCTCTGTTCTTTCTTGATGTTCTAGCAAATATAACAGCAGGTTGTCAGTGCTGGATGATTAAAATAGCTCATTGAATTACTATTGTTGTTCAGTGGAAAGAGATTACTTTTAGTTGGAGTTGGGGGTGGGTGTGGTGGAGGGGAATGTGTTGAGTTGTGCTCTAAAGAATGGGTAAGATTTAGATAGATTGGAACTAATTCCAACTCATACCATTTTGTGTGATTTTCATTTTGAAAGTCATTCCAAAATGAATAGACAGAAAAGTGAAAGCTTTTTTTGGGGGGGGAATTTTGGATATATATTTTCTTATGAGGAAAACCACCACCATGTTGTACATTATTTATTAGTATACAGAAGCAATCACATTTTCCTGTCTTTCTACTAAGGCTTACAGGCCACTCTAGTGGATCATGGAATCTTCCTAGAGGAAGAAACATTTAAACTGAAAATTAAAGTAGGCATTAGTCAGGGAAAAGTTTGGGGAAGAACATTTTAGCAAGAGGGACATGTGAAGCTTTTGAGACAGGAAAGAACTTGACTTTTTAGGGGACCCGGAGGCCAGTGCGGCTAAACCCAGTAAGTGGAAGAGTCACTCAAGGTGACTGAAGGTGAGATTATATAGGACTTTAAAAATGATCCTTTGGCAGGTTTAGAAGAATGCTTTGGAAGGGAGTTTTGTTTGGAGTCTAATGCAGTCAACCAGGGAAGAGTTATCATAGTGATAGCGTGAATGAAGATTTGACAGAGACAGTGAGTGAATAGATTAGAGGGTTATTTGGGATGTAGAATTAGAAGCTGTGATTGGTTAAGATGGAGGCCTTACATCTGTAGTGTAGTTATCTGGCTCTTTAAAAATATTTTTTCATACATCTCTTATTTCGTAGCTCTAGCCTGTAGTCCTATAGCAACTTTTCTTTGCTTAGCTTTATTCTTCCTTGTGGTCTAATTATACAATACCTTGATTAAATACACATCTGTGATTACCCTTCTTTTTTGTCTTTAGAGCAACTTCTGGTAATTACTAATAAAGTGGTTTTTCCAAAGGTGTAATGCATCTGGTGCCTTTAAAATTTCCCTCCTTTCTTATGTGTCAAAATAGGGGTTCAAAAAAGAAAAACAATAAAAATAAAAAGTTCCGTCCATTCTTCCTAAAAGTGAAATTTGAACCAGATATGTTTTGCAGATTGTTTTTTGGTCTGTATAAAAAATAGGGTAATACAACTCAGTTGGCTTTAAGGGATACATACTGGGCCTCATGAGGTTGTTTCGTTTTTGCTTTTTTGTTTTTAATTTCAGGTTAAACTGCTGCCATAATAACTTTGAAAAGTTTTTTTTTTTCTTCAATGAACATAGTTTCTACTTTATTTATTTTATTTTTATTTTATTTTATTTTATTTTATTTATTTTTGAGATGGAGTCTCGCTCTGTCGCCCAGGCTGGATTGCAGTGGCGTGATCTTGGCTCGCTGCAAGCTCCGCCTCCTCCTAGGTTTGCACCATTCTCCTGCCTCAGCTTTCCGAGTAGCTGGGATTACAGGCGTGCGCCATCACGCCCAGCTAATTTTTGTATTTTTAGTAGAGATGGGGTTTCACCATCTTGGCCAGGATGGTCTCGATCTCTTGACCTCATGATCCACCCACCTTGGCCTCCCAAAGTGCTGAGATTACAGGCATGAGCCACTGTGCCCGGCCCATAGTTTCTATTTTATTATTTAAATGTTTCTATGTAGAATTTTCAGTCTTTTAGGGCATTTCAAAGACAGTGTTCTTCCCTGTCTTATTTCATTTTTATGGCATCGAAATTCAGAATTCTTGTTGAACAAGAGATCTCAGATGTCTTCAAAGGCGCTGCAGATTATCTAGGCTTTCTTTAAATATTACAACTTGACTTTTGAATTAGATCAGTGAATATTTATGTTATAGTTTTTTTTTTAATCCAGGGAGCTTTATGTTTTGGAATATAAATATATTTTTAAAAATCAATAATCTTGTAAGAGTTTTTAGGCTTTCTCTTTTATTCTTACATGTTTCAACATTTTACTGTTAGATTGTTCTTAAAGCTTCTGGGGGGGCACTTTGTCTTACATAATTGGTTTCCTTTTAATTTTTTCTTAAATATCTTACCATAGCACAACTTAAAAAGAAAGCTTGTTAGATGAAAGGCAAGAACTCTTTTATTTTAATAATAGTCATTGCAAATAGTGCAAAGATGAAAGTTATTGAATTGTGCCTTGTGTGTGATCTTAGAAATTTCTTACATATGATTAAGCTTTAAAATATTTACTAACTGTAGTTAGTATTCAACTCAAGTGAACATTTCTTTTTCATATGGATAGTTTTTTGAAAAAATCAAAGCAATACTTAATGTGTTTGAAAATCCTACTAGTAGTTCTTTTGACTATATTACTATTTTATGTCCTACTTTTCATTTTGTAATTATCTTCCTGAAATTTTCTTAAGTGCTTGGTGATAAAACCTAATCATAGTTTAAGGTAAACAAAAATTACAAGAGAGCTCAAAACATAAAGATTGTTTGCATTTTGAGTGTTCTGTGGTTTGTATTGTGATCCTTGATTACTAAGTAACACAGTAACAGTCGAAGCCAGGCCTGTTGAGTACATCGTGAAAACCAGTTTCCTAGTATTTTTCCTGCCTTAAAAAAAAAAAAGCAGTTCCTATATTTATGGCTTCTCTGTCTTAGTAAATCCTGTGATCACTGATATCCATGATGCCCTACTGTGAGTTGATAGAAACTCAGCATGTTTCAGAGCAACTGTGTATCTGGATGGTAGCTCGATTTTAGTAGAGTGGTTTTATTTAATTACACTTTTTGTAAAATTACCCTTTTCGTAATTACACTTTTGTAATGTGTAAATAACACATTAAAAACCATGCCATTTAGAAATAATTTTTAATGTCATTCCTCTTTTTGAACTAGTTATAATTAATTTTTTTATATGTAGACAGTTTTCAAACCCACAGAAAAATTGGAGGATGAACCTGTATAACTTTGACCTGTATTCACCAACTATTAACATCTTGGCATGCCTGTATGTTCTCTGACACATGCGTGCATGTACACACACACACACACACACACACACACACACACACCCCTTTATTTTGTCAAGTTATATGAAAGGAGGCTGGAGACATCATGATATCCTTCACCTTTACTTTGGCATGTATATCTCAGGAGTAAGAATAGCCTTCTACGTATCCACAGCTCCATTTTATTTTCTAAAAACATCAACATTAATCACAAAAATTATCTGATATATGGTCCATTTTCAAGTTGTCCTCCAAATGTCATTTATAGTCAGATTTAGTTCAGACATTTCTAGGAAGAACACCAGTGAATTCTGTAACCTCCCAGTGCATCACTTAAGGAGGCACATAATATCAGCCCATCCTGATAAGAACCACTTGGTGGAATTGTGACTGCCGGCTCTTTTCAGGTAGATTTTCCCCTTTGCAACTAATAGTAATCTTTGATGGGATACTTTGAGAACATTTGAATATCCTGTTTCCCCACAAGATTTTACCAGTGCTTTTAGCACCCACTACTGATCCTCGCTTGAAGCAATTATTACGTTAGGAGTTACAATGATTTATCTTAACTTGTCTTTTTTCAATGTTAATTAGATGTCTTTCTATCAGGAGGACCTTTCCCATTTCCTCCTTTCTCTCCTTTTTATGAGATATTATGATAGATTTTTTTTTTTTTTTTTTGAGATAGAGTCTCACTCTGTCACCCAGGCTGGAGTGCAGTGTTGTGATCACTGCTCACTGCAACCTCAACCTCCCAGGCTCAAGGGATCCTCCCATCCCAGACTCCCAAATAGCTGTGACTACAGGTGTAAACCAACAAACCTGGCTAATTTTTAAATTTTTTGTAGACAGGATTTCACTGTTACTCAGGCTGGTCTTGAACTCCTGGGCTCAAGTGATCATACTGCCTCGGCCTCCTGGAGTGCTGGTATTATAGGCATGAATCAGATAGAAAGATTTTTTAAAATTCAGGCTGGGTGTGGTGGCTCACACCTGTAATCCTAGCACTTTGGGAGGCCAAGGCAGGCGGATCACGAGGTCAGGAGTTCGAGACCAGCCTTGCCAACGTGGTGAAACCCCGTCTCTACTAAAAATACAAAAAAAAAAAAAAAATTAACTGGGTGTGGTGGCATGCACCTGTAGTTCCAGTTACTCGGGAGGCTGAGGCAGAAGAATTGCTTGAACCTGGGAGGTGGGGGTTGCAGTAAGCCAAGATCGCGCCACTGCACTCTAGCCTAGTGACAGAGTGAGACTCTGTCTCAAAAAAAAAAAAAAAAAAAAAAAATTCAATGGATAGTAATCCATTACTATCATTCCTTTTGATGCTTTTTTATTGAAGTGCAGTTTAATATACAGAAATGCTTATAGATTATAAGTGTGCAGTTTGAGGAATTATCACAAAGGTCTCACAGAGGATAATTGTAAACATTGTATAAACATTGCTCAGTTCATAAATGGAAGGTAGACAGTACATATTCTTTTGTGTCTGGTTTACATCACTTAGTTTTGTTTTTTTGTCAGTTTCACCCATGTTTTGCATACAGTCAAATTGCTGTGTTTGAGTCTACCATTGTTTATTTATTATCAAAGAATATCAGGGTTGTTTGTAGTTTTTTACTAGTATGAATAAAGCTACCATGTACTTCTACATGTCTTTTGGGATCAGTAGTGGGTGTAGGATTGCCTGTGAGAAAGGATTTTGGCAGTATTAACTTGCAATTTCTCTACCCAGACAAGGACACAGGTGCTGCTTTTGCTGCCAGAATCCTCTCTAAGGCTCTCATAAATTATTAAGAGCGTATTTGGGGATTTTATTTATGGAAATGTTAATATATTATACTATTTACTATCACATAGTACCACATCTGTATACCACTTATTATCAAGGCAAATCCTTGCTCACTTAATCCAAAAAGAGAATACTCTTTATTCTGTATGTCAACTCATATATAAATGTAAATGGAGTATAATCATATTCAAATTCATCTTATGAATTGTGGATTTTTTTTTGTTTTGTTTTGAGACAAGGTCTTGTTCTGTTGCCTATTCTAGAGGGCAGTGGCATGATCTTTTCTCACTGCAACCTCTGCCTCCCGGGTTCAGACAATTCTCCTGCCTCAACCTCCTGAGTAGCTGGGATTATAGGCATTCACCACCAGTCCCTGCTAATTTTGTATTTTTAGTAGAGACGGGATTTTGCCATGTTGGCCAGGCTAGTCTCAAACTCCTGACCTCAAGTGATCCTCCCGCCTCGGCCTCTCAAAGTGCTGGGATTACAGGCCTGAGCCACCAGCACCCGACTGAATTGTGAGGTTTTATGAAACAGATACAACCTTCGTCATGATATTAGATCTTCTAAATTTTATACCTCATACAACCAAATGAAGAGAAATTGTTTAACCACTCACATGTGAAGATAGTTGAAACTTATGTATTGTAAATTACGAGAGACTTGTAATCAACTGGTTGCATAGATATTTCCAACACCACTGGAGACTGAGTTTTAAAACCATGTACAAATTTTCCTGGGTAAGAAAGAAGCAGGGGACCAGGTGTGGTGGCTCATGTTTGTAATTCTCAGCACTTTGGGAGGTCAAGGCAGGAGGCTTGCTTGAGGCCATGAGTTTGAGACCAGCCTGGCCAACATAGCAACACCTCATCCCTACAAAAATAAAACTAGTCAGGGATGGTGGTACATACCTGCAGTCTCATCTACTTGGGAGGCTGTCAAGAGGATCACTTGAGTGCAGGAGTTAAGGATGCCGTGAGCCATGATTGCACCACTACGCTCCAGCCTGGGCATCAGAGTGAGACCCTGTCTCTATTTAAAAAAAGAAAAGAAAGAAGCAGAGAAAGCAAAAGTAGCAGACAAAGCAATAATAGGTTTCTATTCATACTGTTACATATGTTTGCTGAGTTTTCATTTTTTTTTTCCAGTAGTGGCCACGGAGGAAGTAGTTACTGCAGAATCTGTGGATGGTGCCATTCAGCAAGTAGTTAGTTCAGGGGGTCAGCAAGTCATCACAATAGTTACAGATGGAATTCAGCTTGGAAATTTGCACTCTATTCCAACCAGTGGAATTGGTCAACCCATCATTGTGACCATGCCAGATGGACAACAAGGTTAGTAGTAGACATTTTTATAAAGTTTGTGTTTGTTTTTATTTTATTTTTATTTTCTTTAAGTCTTCTCTGCAGTCCAAAGAGATTGTGTTTATTTTTAATTCTCAGGAAATTATGATATGTGTTCCAAAGAATTTATTTTTGCCTTGAGTTATATTTGTATAACCCTTTGCAGGACACCTAATTACCTAATTTTATTTGCTTAGGCTAATTAAAATTAAAATTAGCTTGCTTTCTCTGAGTATATACTAGGTGGAAAGAGAAATTGGCCCTAAAGTATTCTGGTTGAAAAATGAGCTTAAATGTCACCACAAATAATACCTGAAATAAATAATTCAAATCAGCATTGGACAATAGTTTCCTAGATCATTTAATGCAATTGGAATACCATGTGAGCTTTTAAAAATATCACATAAGAAAAAGCTACTTAAAAAGAATTTGGAGCCTGGGCAACATGGTGAGACCCCATGTCTAAAAAAATTATAAAAAATTAGCTAGGCATGGTGACATTTACTGATAGTCCCAGCTACTTGGGAGCTCGAAGTGGCAGAATTGCTAGAGCCCAGGAGGTTGAAGCTGCAGTGAGCCATTATCGTGCCATTGCATTCCAGCCTGGGGAACAGAGAGAAACTCTTTCTCAGAAAAAGAAAAAGAAAAAAAAAAAGGTGGACTTAGGACTTGTAGTAGGAATATGGTAGCAAATTTTAGCAGCTTTATTGTGAATTCTAACATTTTTCTCCTTTTGGAAACTACAAAGGCTAACAAGATGAAACAAAAGCCTCAACTACATTTTCAGTAAAACTAAAAGGCTGAGAAAACCTCAGAATTCCACATTTTTAAGTGCTGCCAAAAGCATCTGAAGCCATTACAGCCAGAGGGCAAGAGGACTCTTACGGAAATCCACACTGGTGCATCAAGGAAAGAAAAGGGGTTAAGCTCAGCAATAAAGATAAACATGCTTTCTCAGAAGTATAGGGCCCCAGACTCAGTAGGAAGTGCTGAATGCAGGACTAAGATAGAATAGGGCACGAATACTGAGGCAGAGAGAGAAGCTGCAGAAAGTATCTAACTAAGCATTGCCCTGTACCTTGTCTCCCCCTAAAAATAGTGTCCACACATAATCTTGGAGAAAATGACTAGGGCTGGTATGGTGGCTTAAGCCCATAATCCCAGCACTTTGGAATGCTAAGGTGGGAGGATTGCTTGAGGCCAGGAGTTCAAGACCAGCCTTAGCAACACAATGATACTTGTCTCTACAAAAGTAGAAACAACGAAATTAGCCAGGTATGGTAGTGTGAACCTGTAGTCCCAGCTACTTGGAAGGCCGAGGCAGGAGGATCGCTTGGGCCCAGGAGTTTGAGGCTGCAGTGAACTATGATTGCACCATTGCACTCCAGTGTGGATGACAGAGCGAGACCCTGTCTCCAAGAAAATAAAGAAGAAAAGAAAATGAGTAGGATTGTAGAGCGTGTGCCTTTCATGGCCAGTGAAGGGCAGGGCTAGAGGTAGAACTTCACCTAAACCAGGTTTGGTTTTGAGTGGCAGAGGAGGCATGACACTGAACAGAGACCAGATTTGGAGAAAGGAGTTTGTTGCTGTAACAGTAGAAGAGGGAACACTTGGCCTGTAAAGCCTGGGAGGCCATTCTGTCCCACTCTGCTGAAATCTTCTGCTAATAGCTGGTCTGAAATTGGATTAGGGTCAGATGCTTTCACAAAGCGTTAAAGAACTAATTCTAATTTTTAGAAAAGAAGAAAGCTTTAAAAATATTTGTATCAAGCAGACGTAACATTGTTTCCAAAACCTGTATCATTATGCAGACTAATGATTTCTCACAGCTCTGAAGACTAGAAGTGCCAGGTCAAGGTCTTGGGGCAGGTTTGGTTTCTTCTGAGGCTGCTCTCCTTGATTTGCAGATGGCCATCTTCTGGCCTGTCCTCACATGGTCTACCTCAGTTTGTTTGTGTTATCTGTGTCCTAATCTCCTCTTCCTGTAAGGACACCAGTAGTACTGGATTAGGGCCCATCTCATTTTACCTTAATTATCTGTTTAAGGACCCTGTCTCCAAATAGAGTCACACTCTGAGGTACTGGGGGTTAGGACTTCAACATGTGAATTTGGGGAGTGGGAGTACCATTCAGCCCATAACAAAGATCACGTTTTTTTCTGTAATTAGCCAAATTGATTCTAAAGTTTATGTTGATGGGGCAGAGGGAAGAAGAATAAGGAACACTCTGGAAAAGAATAGCAATGAGAGAGTTCTACTGAATATTTTTAAAAAATAAACTTTTAAAGCCTTCCTGAATAAAAAATATATAGTTAACATGTGAATTATATAGACTGTACAGTCTAATAGATATAAATTCTCATTTTTTTCCAAGTTAATTTATAAATGTCATGAATAAAAAAGAAAACTCGAATTCTCAGTATCTCTAATGTTTTAAATTACATTGTACTAAATAAATATTAGTTTTACTATTTTAAAATTTTTATTTACATTTATAGCTGTCACTAAGAGGGTTTTTCATGTTTTGGCAAAAAATTTTAAAGGCCATGGAACAATTATAATTTTCCCCATTGTGATTATTAGGATGGCTTCAGGTGATTTCAGCTTGCACAGTCGTTTTTATGTTCCTGTACTGCTGTGCAAAGCAAGGACAACCTCTCTATATAATTACATTTATATAAAGAGCTACTAAAAACTGAGAAAAAGCCCAACAGTCCAATACAAAAACAAGCAATGTTTATGAACTCTCAGTGCTCATAATGGAATATCCACTTAGTGGATATTAAGAAGCTAAATAAACAGAAGCTCTCTATGTAATGATGTAAGATACTGTAAGTATCTGGAGTGAAAAAAGCAGATGCAGAACAATGTATCTGTTGTATATATGCTACCTTTTACGTAAGAAAGGAAAATGAGAATGTATACTAATTTTTAAACCAATTAATATAAGGATAATACATAATAATTAATAAAATGATTATCTGTTGTCGGGGTGGGCATGAAGCCTCTCAAAATATGCTTGTTAAATATTTTGATGTTTGAGTCATGAATGAATATATTATCTATATAATTTAAAAAATTATATTATCTATATAATTTAAAAAATATATGTAGGTACAGTAAAAAAGCAAGAAGGTAATAAAGAAGACATATATGGATAGTCTCATAAAAAGCAGATCGATGATTTGGAATTATTGTTTTGGAATGTACTTATTTTAGATGAGTAGCATCAACAGTGTCAAGACTAGTTTTATTTCTAATAAATCTCTCTGAAAATGAAGTAATACATAATTTTTTTTCATTTTAGTATTAACAGTACCAGCAACAGACATTGCTGAAGAAACTGTTATAAGTGAAGAACCACCAGCTAAGAGACAATGTATCGAAATAATTGAAAACCGGGTGGAATCTGCAGAAATAGAAGTAAGGAGTCTTTTACCCGGTGTGCTTTGCCGCAGTCATCCAAAATAAATTCAATTTTTTTTGTCTTTTATATTTATTACTGACAGTATTGTTTTGATACAGAATGAAAGTGCGTAGTATTTTCATTTTGTTTATTTTTGCCTTATACATATAGCAAGCCCTCAATAAATAAATATTGAATGAATGAATGAGTGAGTGAAGAATTTGTTTTATAATAGTCTGTCATCTTGACAACACTGGAATGTCTTTGGTTCTTGCACTTCATCCTTTATATTTTAAACTTACACACACCATTCTTACAAGTCACTAAGGAAAATACCAGTATATATTGGCTAAATTTTTTTTTTCATTCAAAACTGAAGCTAAAATACCTAATTGGGCTAGGGGGTCCTCTTAAAGAAGGTCGATGTTTGTCAAATGGGTTATTTTTTAAAAGCAGTAGATAATTGCTTCTTTCAAGGAAAGTAAATGAATTTAGACTAGCTGTTCATAGGATTCAACTTTTTTTCCCCTCCCCCAGAGTAATTTGTAAGTATAAACCAGTTTGTAGGTGTAACCAAACCATAGTTGCTTCACAGGTTTTTTTCTTGACTGACTGTAAATAAAATTTTGCTCCATGAACTTGATAATAAATTATATCAAATGAAAACAAGGTTATTCTTGAATAACTTTGAAAGAACAACTGCAACCACTGAACTTGAAATCAGATGAGTTGAGTTTGAATCCCACCTCTTGTACTGTTAGCATTGAGGCAAGGAATCTTATCTTTCTGAGTTGCAGTTTTATTGTGTTCCAAACTGGAATTTAGAATAATAATGTCTCCATTTTTGGGTTTTTATGAGAATTGAAAAAGTCAGCATAGTCATACAATATTTATATCTGATATGTGTTTGTAGTAAATTTGGTGAATATTTAGTAATTTTTTGTAAAGGTTCTTGTTATAGAAAGGAGATTTTTAAAATAAGCCACTAAAAGGTAACATAAGTCAAACTAAAGACAATGAGAAAATACCCTTTCTAAATTCATGTAAATATAAGACTGGTACATCTTTGGCCACACCACAAATATATTATTGAGTTTAAAAGAATCTGATTAATGGTTTAACCAGAATATTTGGTAAAATTATGACTTTAAATATTGATGTTGGGTTGTTTTATTTCTTCAGGATTTAAAGTGATGTGTAGGATGTTAAAGTTTTTATTCACAAACTAACAATTTTTCCATTGAATGGTATCAGTATACTTATTATTTAATACTTTTTGTTGTTTTTCTGATATGTCAGATGATCTTTTTCAGACACATAAGGTAAAAAAATGTACTTCGCTTTAACTCTTTAATAAAGTATTATTTTAAAATTACTTGAATTTTTTATTAAATGTAAGCTTATTTAATTCAACAGATTATATTTTTAAACAATGAATGTGCAGCCTGTACCTTTATTTACCTAATGACCAGGGAGCATTGCTGTTTCCCTCAAAGTTTAGCCTGATTTCTTTCTTACAGTCTTTGAGAGACCAGGGAAAATAACTGCAAATAACAGGGAAGTATGAATTGAGAGGTGTATAAAATAACTAGGGCCCAGGAGATGGAGCTTTAGGGAGATTCGGTTTCAGCTTGGTGTGAAGAACAGTGGTTTTCGTTTGCTTGCTTTGTTTTGATTTTAGTCAAGAGAGCTTTCTGGTAATGGAAATCTTGTTCTCCATCACTGGAAATGTTCAAGCCAAGCTTGCCTGACCTCTTAGGGCTATTTCAGAGAAACCTGGAAGCATACAGTGAGTATACAGGTAGTGGTAGGCTGGAGATATAGAATGAAGAGATGACCGCCAATGTTTTCAACAAACCAGGTAATCATTTCCTTATAATACGTGAAGTTGTTATTTTGAATTTATTTTCTTAGGTGGCCAATGGGGTTATCTTGGGGGGAGACTTTTATACTCCTGAGGGACAGCTTGGCCATTAACTGAAAAAGTTTCTCTAAAGCAGCGTCAGAAGACATATTTGGTTGTCATGACTAGTGGCATTCCACTGACATGTAATGGATAGAGGCTGGGTAGACATCCTACAATGCACAAGATAGCCTCCCACAATAAAGAATTGTGTGGCCCAAAAATATCAATGATGCTGAGATTGAGAAACTTAAAGAAATTTGGCCGGGCGCGGTGGCTCACGCCTGTAATCCCAGTACTTTGGGAGGCCGAGGCGGGCGGATCACAAGGTCAGGAGATGGAGACCACCGTGAAACCCCGTCTCTACTAAAAATACAAAAAATTATCCGGGCGCGGTGGCGGGCGCCTGTAGTCCCAGCTACTCAGGAGGCTGAGGCAGGAGAATGGCGTAAACCCAGGAGGCGGAGCTTGCAGTGAGCCGAGATTGCGCCACTGCACTCCAGCCTGGGCGACAGAGCGAGACTCCGTCTCAAAAAAAAAAAAAAAAAAAGAAAGAAATTTAAAAATTAACTCTATACAAAATCTAATGTTTGGGTTTTCTCCATGTATCTGTGACTGCAATGCCCAGAGTGACTCTCCATAAAGAAGGTGCTAAGAATTGGCCAGGGGCAGTGGCTCACGCTTGTAATCCCAGCACTTTGGGAGGCCAAGGTGGGTGGATCACCTGAGGTCAGGAGTTCGAGACCAGCCTGGCCAACATGGCAAAACCCCACCTCTACTAAAAAATACAAAAATTACCCGGGTGTGGTGACACACGCCTGTAGTCCCAGCTACTCGGGAGGCTGAGGCGAGACAGTCGCTTGAACCTGGGAGACGGAGGTTGCAGTGAGCCAAGATTACGCCATTGCACTCCAGCCTGGATGACAGAGTGAGACAAAAGAAAAAATAATAATACAATAAGGTGCTAAGAATTTATGTTTACAGTTTCCCAACTAACAATGGAGAGGTTTTCCAAGAGTCTCTGGAAAAATTACTTTAAACTGTAGAAAGTGTATTGTACATTTTGTGGGCTTTACATCTGCATATAGCAATATAGGAAATAAAATAGGTTTGTTTTTTGGAGAGAAAGGTGTGAATAAGACACCAAATTGCAATAATGTATATAATTTTATCTTCCATTTATTACTGCATTGAATATATTTTCCGGAAGAGTGTTATTTACAGATTTCCAAAAATAAACGTTAGACTATTCTGAATTGAAATTAATCTTTGTACATGTGTAAGAAATATATTTAGTGTATTAGGAGTAACAGATTTTGTCTATTACTTTATTGTGTGACTTCAGGAAATACCTTTACCTTTTCTTTCCCATGGAGGTTAAAGATAAATATGTTTATTAGTAAATTTTATTTTATTTAATTTTTTTAGAAAGAGTCTCACTCTGTTGCCCAGGCTGGAGTGCAGTGCTGCGATCTCGGCTCACTGCAACCTCCGCCTCCCAGGTTCAAGCGATTCTCCTGCCTCAGTCTCCTAAGTAGCTGGGATTACAGGTGCATACCACCATGCCCGGCTAATTTTTGTATTTTTGGTAGAGATGGGGTTTCACTGTGTTGGCCAGACTGATCTTGAACTCCTGACCTCAGGCGATACGCCCGCTTCAGCCTCCCAAAGTGCTGGGATTATAGGCGCGAGTCACTGCTCATGTCTGTAAATTTTATTTTTAATGAAATATTTGTGTCCTTTAACTGGTAGTAGATTTGAGATCCTTAGTGCTCTCTAAAAAACTGATTTCTGTAAACTTTATAAAATGTTTTATTTGATGCAAAGTTTTTCAATCTGTGTTTTTTTTTTTTTTTTTTTAAATGGCTATCTTTCCTGATCTGCCACAATTTAAAAATGTTTATAGTCACATCTCTCTCTGGTTTTTTTTTTTTTTTTTTTTTTCTTTTTTCTTTTTTAAGGCAGGGTCTCGCTTTGTCACCCAGGCAGAAGTGCAGTGGTGCAGTCATGGCTCACTGCAACCTCAAACTCTGGGGCTCAAGCAAGCTTCCCACCTCAGCCTCCCAAGTAGCTGGGACCACTATACCTGGCTAGGCTTTTTTTTCTTTTTGTAGAGAGGGTGTCTTGCTATGTTGCCCAGGTTGGTCTTGGACTCCTGGCCTCAAGTGATCCTCCCACCTCCGCCTCCTGAAGAACTGAGATTACTGAGATTACTGGCATAAGTCACCATATCCAGGTCATTTCTCTCTCTTTTTTAAAATTAATGTTTTTATGTATGTTTTTATTTATTTTTTGAGACAGGGTCTCACTGTGTTGCCTAGGCTGGAGTGCAGTGGTGCATTTACAGCTCACTGCAGCCTTGACCTCCCTGGGCTCAAGCAATCCTCCCACCTCACAGCCTCTTGAGTAGCTGGGACTACAGGCATACACCACCATGCCTGGCCAATTTTTGTATTTTTTTGTAGAGATAAGGTTTTGCGGCCAGGCATGGTGGTTCATGCCTGTAATCCCAGCACTTTGGGAGACTGAAGTGCGAGGATCTCTTGAGGTCAGGAGTTCGAGATGAGGCTTTGCCCTGTTGCCCAGGCTAGTCTCTTACTCCTAGGCTCAAGCAATCCTCCTGCCTTGGCCTTCCAAAGTACTAGGATTTCAGGCATGAGCCACTGCATGCCCAGCACCCAGTCCATATCTCTTTTTTCTAAGGCTGGAGAAGGCAAAGTTTTTTCATAAATGGCCAGGTACCAAATATTTTCGGCTCTGTGGACCCTACAGTCTCTTTGTCAACTACTCAGTTCTGCCATTGTAGTGAAAGCAGCCATAGACAATTTGAAAATGGGTGGGTGTGGATATATTTCAATAAAACTTTATTAAAACAAAATCATAGTTGTCATGTTTGGCCCAGGGCAGTTAGAAAATTGACGTTTACACACAAGCAAACGGCTCACATATCCTGCCCAGTTTATCTCTTTTAAAAAACATTTAGGCCAGGCGCAGTGGCTCATGCCTGTAATCCCAGTGTTTTGGAAGGCCAAGGCAGGCGGATCACGAGGTCAGGAGATCAAGACCATCCTGGCTAACATGGTGAAACCCCGTCTCTACTAAAAATACAAAAAATTAGCCGGGCGTGATGGCGGGTACCTGTAGTCCCAGCTACTCGGGAGGTTGAGGCAGGAGAATGGTGTGAACCCGGGAGGTGGAGGTTGCAGTGAGCCGAGATCATACCACTGTACTCCAGCCTGAGCGAGACTCCGTCTCAAAAAAAAAAAAAAAAAGTATAGTGTTAATTATACTTTCAATCTTAAAGATTAAATGTATTCAGCATGCAGTGCTAATGATCTTTGTCTTCTAGGTTTTATAGAATTAGCCAAAAAATGCTGTGAAAATGAGTTTTTTATTTCACCTAGTAGGCAGAAGGGAGCTATCTTTTCATTTTTATCAAGATAAATTGTACTTCTTGAAGTTAAAATATGCAATATGGAAAATAGGGTTAGGCTCTTTTCACTGTTAGACTACCTCACTCGGTTTGCTTTCATCTTCTGCGATAATTGTGAATCCTTTCCTGACTCTAAATGTTAATAAATAGGTAATACTAGAAGATGCTTTAGAGTTAACCTCTTCCAATATTTCCTGCTAAATCAAGGTAAATTTTTACCCATGTTCGAAACTTTGGCTACCAAAGGATTGGTGTTATTTTTCACATACATGTAAGTTTGTGTTTGTTTTTTTCTTTTTTCTTGTTTTTTGAGACAAGGTCTTGCTCTGTCACCCAGGCCAGAGTGCAGTGGAGTTGCTCAATGCAACCTCAACCTCCTGGGCTCAAGTGATTCTCCTGCCTCAGCTTCCCAAGTAGCTGGGACGATAGGCGCATGCCACCATGCCTGGCTAAATTTTGTATTTTTTTGTAGGGGTTTTGCCATGTTGCCCAGGCTTGTCTCGAACTCCTGGGCTTAAGTGGTCCGCCTGCGTTGGCCTCTCAACGTGTTGGCTTTACAGGTGTGAGTCACTGTGCCCGGCCACACGTAACATTTTAAAACACATGCATGGCTGTGGACACTCCTGCCAGAGCTGTGGTCTAGCTCCTGGGAAGTAACATCCAACCTTCCACCCCTCACCCCTTCCATTGGTGTCCTTAAAGTCCTGCAGTCCGTAGCCAGGGTACTGGCATTGATTGCTTACCTTGGACTCATCCCAGGGTGTCTTTTCTGACTTGTTCCTATCTTGGCTGGAGTTAGGATAAGAGGAGGGAAGAAGAAGTGTTAGGAGGCAGCAGGATAGGGCCTGGGCATTGCTTAAACTGGAGGTAAGGGGCATTCCTTTCTTCTACTTGTACATTTTGTGTAATTGGATTCCAAATGAATCACTCCCACATCTGGTGGGCCCATGAGAAAAAGAAATGTTGGATCTCGCTTCATTCCCATTGTGGGGAAGGAAGTGGAATCACAGAAAGGCAGGGGGATTATACATGCTCCTGCTTGTGGACCAACCGTGTGAATAGTGAAGGTGAGGAATCCTTTGGTGTTGGCAATGGACAAGAGTCAAGGAGGCAGAGGATACACAGAATAGGATATAGAGAGAAAGAACCTCATACTGTGCCTCCCCAGCAGTCGGCCAACCACTTACCTTTAGTTCCCTCTGACCAATTATCTTGTACACTGCGGACCCATCATTCTTGTGACAGTCCGAACCCTGGCCTTCACCCTACTCAGAGGTCCTGGGCATCTGTGATGAGGTTGCTTCATTCCTAAGACCATGGAAACTAACCTTGGGTTTTGGTCTGTGGAGGCTGAGCTTTTGTCCTTGTGCTTGCTTAGAGGTGTGGGAATGGGTTCGTTGAAATGTTTTTCCTTGTTTTTCCTGCAATAACTGAATAGGGGCAGAGTGAGGAGGAAGAGGAGAAAGAATACCGTTTTCATTGGATTGGATTTGTGTTTCACCTCTCAGTTTGCTGAGGAGTTTAATACATACATTTTATACCTATGTAATTTAATCATTGATAATTTCGTATTTTATTGGTTTATGAAACAGTATAATTTAGGAAATACTGATCTTGATCAGCACTCTTCATTTTAAAGGTGAATTATCTTGCTTGCTATTGTAAATGAAAAATAGTTTTAAAAGCAGTAATGTTAGAACCCTATAAATCTAACTCCTTAGTATGTGACCTTGGGAGAGCTACATCATCCCTGAGCATCATTTTTCTCATCTGTAACTTGTGCATAATATCTGTCTCAGAAGCTTATTGTTGGAAATCACCCTGTTTACTCATATAGTGGGTGCTCAGTAAAATTGTTTTATAATTATTACCTTTAGGTAAGAGCACAACAAATGGAAATATAAAGAGGTGTGGTTGTGTATTTCCCTCTTAAAAACTCTTTGTTAGTTTTTGTAGTACGTATAAAAGTACAGGTGCCCAGTTTGGAGTCTTTCTGTTAGTCTTATTTCTAAATAGGAAAATAATTTCCTTGCGTTCGGAAACTGATCCATATCTCATAATGTGGAGCACAAAATTAGGGACTTAAATATTAGTGAATTGATTGAAAAGGCAAGATGTCTAGGAAATTTCAGTACGTGGCTACTTTTAGCTACTACAGTTTTGTTTTTTTTTTTTTTAATTTGAAGGATGCATGCCTATATGTATTAAAAATGTATTTTTGCCAAAATTAAAAAAAAACTATTCTTTTAATTAGGAGAGAGAAGCTCTTCAGAAACAGCTGGATGAAGCAAATCGAGAAGCACAAAAATATCGACAGCAGCTCCTAAAGAAAGAACAGGAAGCAGAGGCCTACAGACAGAAGTTGGAAGCTATGACTCGTCTTCAGACTAATAAAGAAGCTGTTTAATTGAAACGAACATGTAGTTTGATTTTACTTTTGGTCAAGAAAGAATACAGTCTTGAACTGTACACAACAAAGGTACAGCCATGGGAATACAGAATGACAGAAGAGACTACAGATTGATAATTGGACTTAAGCCATGAGCTCTGAATTCTTGTAACATAAAACTTTACTTTAGAAGTTGTGAAATGTATTTAAAACTGAATTCTGTAAATAGTTTTTGTTTTTTTTTTTACAGTTCCAAATGAGTTGATAAAGATTGTTGAAGAGATCCAAAACCACAATAAGCCACTGTTTTTGTGAATTCTTTTTGATTTTAGTACAAACCTTAATTTCTCAGAAACAGAACAGTTTTAAGGGTGATCGTTGCTGGTTAGAGCAAATGTTGTGTAATAATTATGGTGGACTGACGCTGGAATTACTCCTATAGGTGTAAACCTCTATACAGAGAGAAGATTTCTCCCAGGAAATCTTTGTACAGCTTTAAGTTGTGTCAGATTCTCTGAAAACATTTTTTAGAAAGCAAAATTTTTATATTTGTTCAATTTCAGCTATACCCAAGTAGATTTACATGTATATGAAGCAAATATTTTTTAAAATTTCTGTTTGTACATATTCTGCATGTTTTATAATTTCAAAATGCATCACTTACATAGGTATTTCTCCCACAGAAATGATGAAAGTGACCAGGAAAAAAAAAAACAAAAACCCCTTTACTCTATAGGTCATTGAAACTAAGTAAGCTAGCAGCTGGTTTTATTGGAATGACAGTGTTCTCGGAAGGAGCAGCCTACAAGATAACTTGAATTTGCCAATTCTGCAAAATCTGTGCTTTTTCGAAAATTTAATAGTGGGGACGTGAAACTGTATTCTGTGCCTTCCATCATGATTTCCACATGAAAGCACTTTAAGGCACTGGATTTTAAGATAATGTTTTTGGAAAACTCAATGTATATGAGTTTCTGAAATATTTTATGGACTTATTTCTCCCCAGGAAATTATTCTTATGGAAAAAAATTGCTTTTGTATGTAGAACAGGAACTTTTTGTACTACAGTGATGCAATAGACATGTCTAATGTAACTTCTACTTTTCCCTTTGAAAGCTCAGTGTCTGTGCTGTGACTTGCCCTCATCACAGTATTGTTGAATTCCACAATGTATGGACATTAAACACTGGCAGACTGTTCACTTTTTCTTTTTTTTTTTTGGTAAAACATTACTTCAAACCCCTTTTTCTTGCTTTATTTTTCAATGTTTTATTGCTTTATGAACTGTTTAACCCTAACATCCCTCTAGGTTATCTATACTGTATAAAAGAGCAATTACCCTTAAAACTGTACTCTGGCCTACTTTTCTATTTTGCAATTAAATATCTTTTTCACATATGTTCATTGTAGACTTATGTTTTTATCACATCTTATTAACACATTAAAAATGTTATCCTACTGCATATTTGAGCTACCATATGAAAATATTTTATACTCTCCACAGTGTGACATTAAAATTCCTGAGGTAGCTCTTGAGAATTTGTTAACTCTCTCACTGGAATTACCAGTTTATTTGTTAATGTAATAAAGGGATCTGTGGTCTGCCCGCCTGATGGTTACTACTGGAAGCGCTTAAAAAGGGTTTAGGGCAAATTGAAGAACTCTGTAAGGAAGAGGAAAAAGATCTTTTTCAATTTTCCACTAAATTTGACATATTTTAAGTGATCCAAAAACTAGTTTTTAAAAATGCCAGGGGCGGGGCACGGTGGGTCACGCCTGTAATCCCAGCACTTTGGGAAGCCGAGACAGGCAGATCACAAGGTCAGGAGTTCGAGACCAGCCTGGCTAACAGGGTGAAACCCCGTCTCTAGTAAAAATACAAAAAATTAGCCAGGCGTGGTGGCGGGCGCCTGTAATCCCAGCTACTCAGGAGGCTGAGGCAGGAGAATTGCTTGAACCCGGGAGGCGGAGCTTGCAGTGAGCCGAGATTGCACTACTACACTCCAGCCTGGGTGACAGAGCGAGACTCCGTCTCAAAAAAATATATAAATAAATAAATAAATAAAAATAAATAAATGCCAGGCCATATTTCCAGTAACATGAAGTGAGTTTTTCTGCAGTCCTGAAAAGTCAATAGAGAATGTCTGTTTCTGGTTACAGAGAGCATTAATTTGGCACATTAATTTGTCATGTGAGGCAGGGTGCTGGTACAGCAGCCAGGTACCCTGACGTGGTGCAGGAGCAGAGACGGGCCAATGTCTTCACCCCAGAGTGCAACCACTGTAGAGTTTTGCTTTCAGACCAGGCTGGCCTTGAAAAGCCTCAAGACAATGTTGGGAACAAGTTTGTGAAAGCTAACTTAATGTTGTCTTTGACTTCCAATCTCCTCTCCTGCTTGAGACTTTACCTGGTGCAAGAAATAATTTTGATTCCTAATAACAACAGCTGGCATAGATGGGAGAAAATAATTGGTGCTTAAAAGGAGTAAGTCTGTGGTAGCATCAGGTACTCAGGTATCTATGGCGGAAGCTCACCTTTTTCAGAGTCGTTGTTATATAACTTACAATTTCTCAATCATTTACATCTCATTTACTGTTCTGTAAAATCAATACTTAGACAAGAATTTGTAATTAAAACTTAAAATGGGTTTCTTTTTCCCTTCACTTATTTCATACTGTTTTCAGGTGGGCTGTAAAAGCTTTTCATTCTAGTCATTCTCAATGGTGCTCTGAGCAGAGGATTTAAAGAACTGACAAAAATAAAAGTCTGTGAAATAAAAGTTTTCAGAAATCCACGCAGTTGTTTCCACTACATATCCAAATGATGGATTTGTAGTTAGCAGTCATCTGGTTGCCACATCACTGGTTAATTGTTTCGACATATATATGAACAAACACCTTCTAGAGCAACCTTTCTCAACCAGGGTTCTGCAAGACAAGCAAGCCATTTAGTGTTTCGGTGTAATGAATTATTTTCTTTCCTATGCACCTAGAATCGTTCTTGTTATGTATTATCTAGACACCGAGTTCATTAGGCATCTTGACTGCCCAATTACTTGATTCAGATTTAACACTTCCCTCTGTATAGTCGCTGGACCTCTAGAATTATAAATTCTAGGTTGAATCTGTGATGCTTTCAGAAAGCCTCATCTGAGTAGTATCTGTAGGGACTGTGCTTCTCAACTAATTTTTATTTATTGTTATTTATTTTATTTATATCTTAATTGCTTCACAAAAGGACTTGTGATGTCATTTGCTTTCATTGGCTTTTAGGAATTATTTTCTTAACATCAGTCTTTTGTGATATGAATGGCAGAATAGTTCTTTTACTCTGCCACTGGACTGCTCTATTTCTCTGTGGTGGTGGAGTGTTGGGAAGAAAATTAAAGAGAAAAGGGGATAAATGGGAAATCTCATGTAATGAAAACTATACAGATGGTCTCCAAGTTATGATGGTTTGATTTGTGATTGTTTGACTTTACAATGGGTTTATTGGGGTATTAATTGCATTTTACATTTATGATATTTTTGACAGGATGAGTTTATCAGGACGTAACCCCATTGCAAGCCAGAGAGCATCTGTACTTGTTTGTAATAAAAAGATCTGCTTACAAATATATTTGTCCAAAATGTGACTGATGAAAATCTCTACCAGTATATATGTCTTCAACGTGATCGTTTATGATGTTATTGAAAATTAGAAGAAATCCTTGCTCATAGCAGGAATTGATGAGTTGATAGAAATGTTTATGAGTACCTTATTCTGATGTTACTGATTTTTTCCATACTGCTGTATAACAGTTTTTTCATGATAAAATCTATAAAGTTTCTTTGTGCTTTAATACCTGAAAGACCTTGAGAGCTGACTCAGAATAAAATAGAGCAAGAAGAAAAGCCTTTTCAGGTAAAATCACAAACAAAGGAACCTTAATGTCCATATGGATGGGTTCCCAAGGCATTAGCACTCAGGCTTATATAGCAAATAGAAAAAAATATTTTCCATTCACCTGGTTTCTATTGAATAAATAACTCCTCCATTATGTCAGGTCAACTTAGGAATGGACTAACTAATAGATTCGTTATTTCGTCAAATAATATTTACCGTGCTTGGATTTCATTATAGATAACTAGTCTATTGTAGTTTTGAATGATGTCTGCTATTTGCTTCCTCTGTTAGTTGAGAAAACCGGATGCACATGGACTCAGTTTGACGTAAGCTCTCCATATTCATTCTCAGATTATTTTGTGTAACCTACGATGGAAAACATACTATCATCATTGGAAATATGCTTCTGGTTCCAAACCAAAATTTTGATATCAATATTTTTGTGACTTATTAAAACTATTTTCCAAATATATAGATACACAGATACACAGTCTTGATCTTCTTGATACACAGAGCTCTTTTAACTTTTTTCACTTCAATGATAGTCAAATTTTGAACATAATTTGGATACAATTTCTAGGGGCTCTTTATTTTCAGATAAATATTGTAACTACCCCCTCAAAAGCACCAGTTGCTTTTCGGAAAAATTTTGACCTGGTTTCTGAGATTCTGTTCATTCTGCTTTATTAATTGCTTCCTCAGTTTTGTTTGTTTGTTTGTTTGTTTTTCGAGACGGAGCCTCGCTCTGTCCCCCAGGCTGGAGTGCAGTGGGGCAGTCTCAGCTCACTGCAACCTCCACCTCCCAAGTTCAAGTGATTCTTGTGCCTCAGCATCCTGAGTAGCTGGGACTACAGGCACACACCACCACACTCAGCTAATTTTTATATTTTTAGTAGAGCTGGGGTTCACCATGTTGGCAGGCTGGTCTCAAACACCTGACCTCAAGTGATCTGCCTACTTCGGCCTCACAAAGTGCTGGGATTTCAGGCATGAGCCACCGTGCCCGACCCTAGCTTCATCAGCTTTTAATTTGGATAGTTTTGATCTCATGTGCATGGTTGACATGTAATGTTTTCCACATCTGTAAATACGTAATATTATCGAATACAATCTTACTACTGATGGATTACATGGATTATAATTTTGAATTGTGTGGATTATTTAAATGTCTTCTTGGTTTTTCTATAAGCAGTTTTCCCATATATTTTTGTGTGCCAGTTAACAGTAGAGCATTTGTTTTTGCATTACTATTTTTCATTATTCTAGACTTACCATCATCATCATGACTCTTAAGAATTGTTTAAATTGCATTCATTTACTATGTTTTGAAGTTTTCATGAAAGATCAGAGAATAATAAAATATCCATGTACCTACCACCCAAATTTAATACATCTTAAGTGGCCTTCCTTGCTTTAATTCTTTTGAGAAACAGAATGTTATAGATGTAGTTATTTTGTTTTCTCCCCATAACCCATTCCCTTCCTCTCTCCTAAAAGGTAACCAATATCAACCACTATCCTGGGTGTGAGATGTTTCTATCTACATTTTTACATTATGCTTTTATTATAGACCGTATTTCAGAAATATATGTTTTGTGTGGTTCTTAAACTTTATTAAGGCTATTGTACTATATAAGTAGCATTCTGCGTATTGATTTTTTCAGGTAAATGATATATTAGATACTCATGTTTATACTTGAGTATCTAAGTCATTCATTTTGACTGTTATATAAAATTAAGAATGTATCATAATTTGTCATTTTTCTCTGTATAGAAATATCATTTCGAATTTCTTGCTAATGTGAATAGTGCTATAATGAACATCCTTGTATATTATCTCCTTATAGCGTATGCAAGTTTCCCAGAGGCATGCACCTAGTAATGAAATTGTTAGGTCTACAGTAGTCAACCTTACTAGATATTGTCAAATTGCTTTCTAAAGTATAAGGAGGGAATAATGATAATTTTCATCTCACCACATCTCACCAACACCTGATACTGTCACATTTTTAACATTCTTGTCGGCCGGGCGCGGTGGCTCACACCTGTAATCCTAGCACTTTGGGAAGCTGAGGCGGATGGATAACCTGAGGTCAGGAGTTCAAGACCAGCTGGACCAACATGGAGAAACCCCGTCTCTACTAAAAATACAAAAATTAGCTGGGCATGGTGGCGCGTGCCTGTAATCCCAGCTACCCGGGAGGCTGAGGCAGGAGTATCACCTGAACCCAGGAGATGGAGGTTGTGGTGAGCCAAGAACATGCCATTGCACTCCAGCCTGGGCAACAAGAGCAAAACTCCGTCTCAAAGAAAGAAAAAAAAAAATTTGTCAACCCACGTTGGTATGAAATTGTTTCTCACTATTTGCATTTCACTTATTACTAGTGAGGTCAAACATTTTTTCCCTTTTATTTTTTATCCATTAAAGTTCATTCTGTGAATTGCCAGTTCATGGCCATTTTGGGGGTGTAGTTTTTCTTACTGATATATTGAAGTTTAATGTTTTTCTGGAAA